ATAGTGGAGTTTGGAGTGTGACTGTTTGAGGTTGTGGACAGGTGTCTTTTATACTGATAACGAGTTCAAACAGGTGCCATTAATACAGTTAACAAGTGGAGGACAGAGGAGGCTCTTAAAGAAGAAGTTACAGGTCTGTGAGAGCCAGAAATCTTGTTTGTTTGTAGGTGACCAAATACTTATTTTACCGAGGAATTTACCAATTAATTCATTAAAAATCCTACAATGTGATTTCCTGGATTCTTTTCCCCCATTCTGTCTCTCATAGTTGAAGTGTACCTAGGATGAAAATTACAGGCCTCTCTCATCTTTTTAAGCGGGAGAACTTGCACAATTGGTGGCTGACTAAATACTTTTTTGCCCCACTGTACATGTATGCGGAACTGCAGGACGGAGTCCAGAACAAATTTCCTTACGGGGACAATAAAGTATATCGTATTGTATCGTATCGTACTGCCTGAGGCTATGGCATATCATGTCTCTGTTTCGAAATGATCCTTTGGTCTTTATTACTCCACTGCGGAGGCATTCAAAGCTTTATTTGCGACCTGCCCTTCTGGCTCCTTGAATGTCATGAGCCACTGTAGTGCAGGGTGATCAGTCCTCACCGTGAACGCCTGGCCACACAGGTAGTATTTAAAGTGCCTGATGGACAGCACCACTGCCAAGAGTTCCCTGCGAGTGACGCAGTATCGTCGCTCTGCTTTGTTGAACGCCCGGCTGAAGTATGCCACCACCTGCTCCCCCTCTGGTGTAGTCTGGGAGAGCCACATTGTATTGTAGCGACCCGGTATAGGGTGCTGTGTGGGTCACTCAAGCATCCCCGTCTCTCTGCCAATCACAGAGCTGCACAGTAATGCTGGTCGGTGTGCGGGCCTGTGGTTGAGGGAGCAGAGGGGGGAGGGCTGGAGAGTGTGTGACGTTGACCCTGCTGTGTGTGTGAGTTAGGGAGTGGAGTACTGAGTGATGTTGAACCTGCGACCTGTAACCTGTGACCTATGAACCTATATCTGTATGCTATCAAAGGAGTTATTAAACTAATAGGCCTGTTCCTATTATAAAAGAAAAACTGTATTCATAAATGATGTGAATCACGTAAACTGCTTGCTTTACAGGATTTAGATACACATAAAAACCAATAGCTCCCTCCTTGTTGTTTTGTTGTTTCGCATGCCCATGTCCGTAATGCCAACAAGGCTCAATGAGTTTCCATTATGCATGATAAGGATGAATGCACATTGATCTATGGGCTATAGCGGGAAGTGTATACTGTTTGTGCATTTCTCTTACTGTTCGCCCTCAAACAGCAGGGTCTGAAAAGCCATCTGGTACACTGGAGGGCATGCCCATTGTTTACGCTATCATCAAAATCTTTACGTCATGACCTTTAAATGTCATGTTAAAGCAGACGGTGGAAGTGCTGAAAACAACAAACAAGAACTGTGACAATTGTTTCATTTCACAAGTCATTGATTTTGGAAATGAACATTGAAATGACTTTCTGCCATTTTGCATAGCAATTTCACAATCAGGCCATCATATATTATAAAGGCTTGCACTGCACAGCATCCTCTTCTGCAGAGGGTTGAACCATCGTGATGTGGTAATCCTGCTGACATGATAAGTTGTCTAATCTATTTCCAGCGGCGTCCTCTCCTCACACACCCACACACACAGCAAAAGGGAGCAATGCACTTATGGAGGTATTTGGCATTAGTGGCTTGCCGTTCTCCATTTGAAGAAACCCTCCAAATGTTTTATTTAATTATTAATTAAATCAACCAATATGAAACAAGCTCTATATTTTGAGTTGACATGAAAATGGGAGATAAAGAAGGGCTGCAGGCATCAGCAATATGAAGTGATGAAAAGATGAGAGATTTTTTTCTGTCAAGTTGAAATTTCTGCTGACTTCTTACATGTTTGATTGATAAAATGCCAGTGGCAGGTTTTTATCGTCATTCTATAACAGGGACACTCTCCACCTCTCTGAACTCATAAAAGCTATATCACAGTAGTAAATAACTCTCCTTACGATATTGGTTTTCATCTAACAGTTTTATTGTCTATTTTTGTCATATTCATCCAACAGAATCGCAGCCTCAAAAACAGATGCTGTTGTGTCTACATGATGTTGGCATCGTGCGTAACCAGCTTAATTTTGTGTTTATGACACAATCTCAAGACCAAATCTCTGCCATCGATTTTATCACACACATTCATCACAGGTGTCAATACTCCCGTTCGTCCTCTCGCGGTCATGACTTTCGTGTATTGTTCTTTATCTAGGGAAGAGGAGTGACGCTCTAACTGAGTGCTAATGAGCCTCTTGTCACTTAAACAGCAGGGATGGGCAGTTAAACGGAAACAAGCAAAGGGCAGGGAGGAATACTTAATGAGATACCTGTCCTGGAATACTATGCAAGTGTTTTATTGAACTAATGGGAAAGAAACTCTCCCTTTCAGTGCTGTTTCATCTGCAGCATTTCCATGAAGAAAACAGGTGTTAAGTCGATGTAAATGTGGTTGTTGCACCTGTATAGTTAAAGACGCCTTATCTTTCTGTATTCATGTACTGCAGGTAGTCAGTCAGGGGACTGGCTGAAGTCCTCATTCGTCCATCGCTTTCCAATATAAGCACTCTCACACCCAGAGGGGAGAAGGCAAAGGTGTCAGCACAGATTTGGGACTGCACCATTAGTAGCAGGCAAAGGGGGAGCAGAGAGAGGAAGTTGAATCGTGTTTGCTCGTGAGGCTCAGCTGCTCATAAACACCCCCTGAGACATGGATCCGATTTTGGCCTGAAATGTTCTTCTGCATGTTTAATTTGTGACATGGCAACCTGGCTCTCCTGAGGGTGGAGATAAGGGCTGGTGCTCCACTGATGGTGAATGGTTTCCTCACAATATTATCAGATATGTCAACATACCATTCACAGTTTGCTTTAAAGCTGAAGATTAACATACATTTGAGTAATGACATGGGAAAACATGTTATCTATCACCTGTCGTAAAGCCAGATTTCATCAATAGTGAATGTATCCACGAGTGCAACGACCGACTGCAATTTTGTGGTCTCCTCTCTTTGTACTGTCTTTAGCAGCCAGACTCCACAGAACTAAACTATATATGGCTCAGTAAATCCCAGCCCAGTTTGATGGCTCATTACCCCTCCATTCAATTTAACAACATGTGAATTATTAAAGCTGGATCCAAGGGCCTCAGTGCAGCTTCTCCCTCTCCACCCTCTCTGTTGTCTGAGCAGCCAGCTCAAGGTCAAGATGTTTCAGGTCAGCGCTGAAATGATTGAGGGCTGTATTAATGTTGCACTGTGAGTGACATTCCACCATTTATCAGTTATGAGAAAAATAAATTCTCCTTTCACAATGCCTGCCTCTATGATTCAATATCATCAGTGGAAGAGTTATGACCTGTGGTCATTCATGGAGCTGTAAGGTGAGTAATGCTGCAGCAGAGAGGAGGCTCGGCACATTGTGTCTCCTGCTGCATAATTTAAACATGTGATGAACTGCGTGTTTACGTGGGTAGAGTCACACATAAGAAGGGATGTGCCCCAGGATGGAAAACTAACCTCGTCACGAGTTGTGTTCAGTGAAAGGGGGAGGAGGAAGGATGTTCTACTTTACTTCAGTGGCTCATTCAGTCGTATGCATTACGGTATGCAGAGCACCAATAGGTGAGAGGGGTGATATTGAAGAGTAGGAAAAATGCTATAACCATAACCATCATATGATCGGTGGTTGCCATGACTACTGATCCCAGCAGACAGCCCTTGGAGAGTGAGTCACATGAGTGAATTGAAGGAGACAGGAAGCATACTGGGTGTGTGCGTTGTCGGGTGATGCAGTACTACTAGTTTGTGTGTGTGTGTCTGTTTTGGGGGTGTGTTCTGAAAGCAGAGAATTGCCCAGGGTGAACATATACAGCCTGGTTAAGAAAGCTACACTGTATACTTTTTTAAGAGGGGACAGATTAAAAAAGTATGCAACAGCAGAAGCTGGAGCAGTCAAAACACTTACATTACATTTGTAATAATTGTCTTTCTCTGAAAGTGAAGAAGTTATCAGTGGAAACACAAAATGTCCCTCCTACAGGAATTCCTTCAGTGCCTGCCACACTCCTAGCATTTGTAAATGCTCTAATTCCTCAACCAGTATCTGTGTCCTTGTTTGACTCACACCTTCTCAAAGACTAATTTTCACGCTCTGAGCTGATGACTGATGGAGGATGTTACCGAGCTGCTGTACAGCATGCACCTGCACTGTTTATACAGTTTCCATTCCCACACTGTCTGAAATTATACCCAAGACCCCCTGACACATCTAATTGAAAGCTAAGTTCTCAAAACCGTTTACCAAATGGATTCACAATTGCAGGCAAAAAAATAGGTAAAAATACTGATCATACATACACTTCTCAGTTGCCTATTTGCTGAAAATAAAAAGCCACCCAGATAGCTGAGAGAAGAAATATGGAGTGTCGAGCAGTGGTAGACTGCTGGTGTCAGAGAGACAAATGACTGTGCCATAAATTATCTACACTTGAGAAACCTCTATTAGGGAGCACGGTCTTTTCACAACCAACTATTTTGGTCTACATCACACTGTGGTCACACCAGTGAATTGTGACATGTCTATTAACATCAAGCCTCTGTCTTTGAAGTAAGTAGGCCTACAGTATGACTAATAGCCATCAGTTTAAATATACTCATTGTACTGCAGGCAATAATATAATAATATAGGCTATATATTAATCATTAGGGAAGCTGAGGATGTTGAACAATCCAATTAATACATTTGATTTGAATAAGCGTCATTTTCAATCACTTCGTTTGCCTACCTGTGTGCTCTTATTATTATCGTCCTGGGAACACTGCAGATGTTTTTTTGTTTTTTTTTAACAATTACTGACGTCTGCTCAAGCCGGTGCGTCAAACCTGCGTCAGACTTCGTCGTGACTTGCCATAGTAATTTCTCCAGAACTGATTTATCCCACAACACAGCCATAAGCACGTGGATACCAGAGGTGTGGGCAGGTGTTTTGCAGAGCTGCAGAACATCGCACAGTTGCAATAAGCCTTTATCTGAACTAGTTGATGTTAATATAGCAAACCAAACTTGTGGCAGGCGTTGAGCTCCTGCGTCAGACTTTACGCACCATGCGCCTTGTGTGACTGCAGGCTGATTTCGCATCCCTTTGCGCGCAGAGATGTACACCGAGCCGAATGAAGAGACCGCACACTCACTTTGGATTCATAGCCTACTGTCACGCTGACTCGAACGGTACATCCCGTTCTGCACACCACACGAGGTAAGAATTGCAACCATTTTCTCAATTTAATCAATTTTTAAAAAGCTCTATGTTTGTTTCTATAAACTGCATTGTCAAGAATCGCTCGAATACCCAGCCCCGCACAGAAAACCACCCTCTTGATTTGACTCGATAAAGACGATCATCAGCTTTCACCTCTCTGCCTGACAGATGGTGCTTTCGCTGCAACATTGACGGTGAGCATCGCTCATTAATCCCCCGTGTCTGACGACGCAACGCCATGTGTCTACATTTTGATCTCAAATATGACAACATCTGCGGTGCAGCTGATAACCTGCTGACTTGTATCCGGGTTTTGCCTGCATCTTTTCCTTACAATCAATATGTGATTCATTTGACCTTGAATAAGCATCAGAGGTGATATTCACGTTCAGAGTCATTCCCCGAGCTGTGGCAGATGGGCCTGTGTGTCTGGAGCATGCCTGAACATTTCCATGCAGGTGCTGTTTTGTACCTGTCAGAATTTATTTTTGTGTTCACGATCAAACCACTCTGGGGGGTGGCATCTGTGAACACCTTATATTTGACATTGACACGTTAATCTGTCAGTGATTGCTGACTGTTTACCCTCCAATAAATCCCACAACACTGAGCATCATCCCCAGACTAGTCAATATCTATCGTCCTGTCATAGCAGCTCCATGCTATTTGCAGCAGACCCTCGTGGAATATCATGTATGTCCTTTGGAGATGTTGAGAAGAGAGATAGGCGACCACTGATGGTGCAGGGATGGATTTCAATTTCGCAGGAGGAGCCATTGCTTAGCAACCAGATGAGATAAAAGTGGATCGTATTTTCGTAGAAGAAACAGAGAACCTGTGCTGTTACATAATTAAAACCAGACTGTCCATGACGAATTAGGAGATAAACAGTTAAAGGTATCAGAATAAACCTCTTAGGAGTCTGTCACCACCAGTCGTTTCTTTTAGAAAGTAAATATAAACTTCACTTTCTGCAGCACATATTCATTTATCGTCTTTGATCCTTAATGCTTCTCATTTAATGCATTTTATTCTCCGCAGTATAGAAAAAAACCCACTTCTGGCCGCTCACCATGTTTCCCTCAGATAGAGATTGATAACTGAGTCATATCTGTAACACTGTCTTGCACTGCATATGAAGTCCTGCTGTCTCTGTAATGTGCCATCTGTGTCAGCAGCACACACTGTGAAAGTCTGAAAGTTGCTGCTGTATTTCTGTATGAATTAAAAAAAAACGTTCACTGCACATGATTATAAAGAGTGAGAACCACCATCCTCATAAGTAGTGAGTGGTTTGTTGCTAACAACGGTTCCATTCATAAGAAAAGTAATGCAAGACATGCGTTAAAACTCCAATCACAACATCCAAAAACTCTGCAGTGTGGCCAAACATTTTTTTTGCAAACATGCACATCATTGCTTCACACCTCATTTGGAGAGAGTTTGATGATGACTCAGTGTGTGTAGCTGCAGACTGCTGTGGGAAAGGTCACTACTGTTCTAGGATCTGTGTCGGGCTCTCAGCCTCCGAGCTGCTGCGTGTCGTGACTGCAGGGGCTCAGGCAGCAGCCACTGTTGAGGAATGTGATGTGCGTGCTGCTGGAGTGCCCTTTTGGGTGGGCTCAGAGTCCAGCCGGCTGGCAACCGTTTTTGAGAAGTCACTGTGAATAGAAGCCCTGCTAGTTTCAGTTGGCTGCATCTGATTTCGGATTAAAGGGCCTTGTCTTCACATCAAGCAACTCTGGTTTTGTTTCACTGCTCTTGAGTGAAAAGTCGGATCTAAACGTGAAAACGTCAAATTCTGGTTTGCATTTCATTTCAAACGTTTATTTAACCAGATTGGTCCCTTGAGATCATATATCTCTTTTTCAAGGGACACCTGCAGCAAATAGGTTCCACATGAAACATAAAACAATATAAAACAATAAAGGACATCATACATTATATTTACAGGCTACATTTACATAGTTATCGACATTTACAAGTACCCATATATCAAAGAGCATTTTAGCCTAGCTTTAAAAACATGCAGAGGAATGAAATTGCTCAGTTGGCATCTCTCATGCAGCTGCTCTTTTGGCATTTAAATAAGATGGTCTTCATCATTCACTGTAAAGCTGACCTTTAGTTCATTAGTAAATGTGCAATGAATGCTAACTGACTCATTTTCAAAAACACTACTCTTGAAGGGTCATGCCATTTTGAGGGTTAAATGCTTGCAGCTATGAATTTCCATTTCATTTTACAAGGATTAGTTTTGGTGTTTACATTGTTTCCGAGTGTGTTTCACAGCAGAGGTAGGCCACCTCACCTGAAATGAGGATCACCTCTATAACATAATTCAAGAGCGGGGTTAAAAAAAGAATTTATGCAGGAGGATCTGACCTTCTATAACACAGTAGCTTTTATACTGTGTTGTTGTCTACACCATTTCCCTCAAGGGAGGCACTATACACAGGATTAGTGTTGGATTGGAGTTGCAAAGGGCCTCTTAAAAGGTGACACATACCAGAGAACTTGGAGAAACTAACTTCAGGTTTCTCTTTTCAGGAGCACTCTGCTCTTGAAATCTTTTTATCAAAACCTCTGAAATCTTAAAACCAACTGCAGACATAAGATGAGAAATAAATACAGATGTTATTAACCAATGTAGCTTGTGCTTAAAGGCTTTAGTTGTATTGCCCCATGTTCGCCTGAGACTAACACACACACAGATTGTTCTGCTATTCACATTACTTACTTTAGCATAATGGGCTCTGCTGTGAAATGAATTGTAATTCAATGGTTTTGTCTCATTCTGCGTACTGAAGTGGATTACTGAAATACCTCACTTTATGCCTCTACAGTGCTGCAGTTTTACTACCAATCTAAAATAGTGTATGAGCTTACTAGCAAACAGGAAAAGCTGAGCACATTTTATGCTAAATTCAGATAAAGTACTTCTTTCTCTAAGACCTATTTTCTGTCTGTATCCAATTATTTCTCTTCACAGATTAAAGACAATAAGCACAACTTTATTTCCCGTCTGATCCCCCTTCAGTCCGTCACCTCAGATTTCCCTTTTCGCCTCTACCGTCTTCAGCCTGAAGGAGCTCCGGTATTGCAGCCATGCCAAAGAACACCAAGGTGACGCAGCGGGAGCACAGCAATGAGCCGGTCACGGAGTCGGTGGCTGACCTGCTGTCCCTGGAGCACCCCATGGACTATAAGAACAGTCAGATGAGTATGGGTCTGAGTCCTGGTTCCACCGCTCCAGTGAAGGCCCTGATCCCCTCCCCAGACCCCGACGCCGAGGACGGCCGACCTGCCTGGAACAACAAGCTGGAGTACATCCTAGCCCAGGTGGGCTTCTCTGTGGGCCTGGGTAACGTCTGGAGGTTCCCCTACCTGTGCCAGAAGAACGGTGGAGGTGGGTGGATGTCTGTACATGACTGTGTTCAACTCTTCTGTGTCTGTTTCAATCGGCCTGTCATAAAACTACACTTTCGACATTTTGTGATACAGACTTGACCTCAGTGGTTTTTGCTGACCTCTATATTGACGGTGTTTAGGAGTTTTTGTTAACATAATAATGTCCCAAACAGGTTAGCCATCATGATGCTAACAGCAGGGTTCTTCTATCCATTATAAGACTTAGTCATTAAACAGACATTGCACATTACTGCTACACAGAACGTGCTTTTATTTAATTGATGTTTAACTTACTGAGGATAATTGATTTTCTTCACATTGCAATTCCTTGTTGAAAAACTAAATAGCATGTGACAACTTTGATTTAATCATTTGGTTTGAGCAGGACATTTGCATTTATCGATCCACAGTCTTGTAGCAACTATTTCCTGAGACATGATTTGATTAATAATGTCCACTGGTCTTTCGGATTGGTGTGACATGTAATGATGAATTGCTCAACCTTCATTTGCATGACATTATAGAGAGAAATAATTTCGCCTTTGCGACTAATTTAGCTCTTATTTCGTCTTCCTGTTAAAGTCAAGAATATTATTCTCTATTTTCTGTCTTTTGTTGCATCTAACACACACAGCACTACCAGTGCTGTGTGTGTTAGATGACCAGTTACTCTTCACAGATTGTTAGCATTTCATTCAAGAACAATCCATTGTGGTGACAGTTTCAGCCACCTCGTCCAAACTGCCACAACATCTCAGCACCGTAGGCAGCAGACAGACTCTCAGCATTATTCTGAGTCATTAACCATCTGCTCAGACAAGTTAGTGAAGTGAAATGAAGATGATTACACACTGCAACAAGGCTTTTCTAAAATAACCCAGGATTAAATGATAGATATGTTATGAAGTTTACTTTGTTCACATAACCATATCATGTAAATAATATTCTCTGCCTCCATTTAACTTCATTTTTTATGAAAGGTATACTTCAACATTTAAGGAAAGGCACTTTCATCGATGACAAACGCAATACTTTTCTCTGAGTGAGATAAATCCAACTCTTAACAAGGAAGAAAATAAGATAAAATCCAAAAATGTGAAACAGTTCCTTAGAGACGATGATTGATTATCATAGTAGAGTCGTACAGTGATTTTATGATCAAATCATGTAACACAAATCTGTTATCTAACAGAGAGATTCCAAGCACATTGCAATTCATAACAAGTACATAATTGTCGGTGACTGGTCTGCACCTTTCCTCATTTCAGACCCAGCTCAGATTGCCTGCTGCCGCTTCCTCCTCTTTGATAAATTGTGGCCTGTCAAACAATTAGCCAGCTAATAGTGCAAGTCAGACTCTTTAACATTTCTGAGACTTCAGCAGTCAGCAGCTACAAGATGAGATAATTGTCCCTCAGCAAGACGAGGTAACATTGAAGGGTCTGGTAATATGCTCTGAAATCTCCTTTTTTGCATTGTATTTCCTGTTCTTGCAGGTTCCTCTGTCATATCTCTTTGGTATTATGATTTGCTGCAAGGGTGGTGATGACTAAGATGGAGGAAGTGAAGTGTAAATACTGATTTCATGGGCTTTCAGACATTGTTGGTTTACCTTGTGTAGGAGGCGTGTGTGTGTAAAGAGGGTATTTGCGATGCATGATATAACAAAGATGGATTGTTTTAATCAGTGAGTGTGTATCCCCATTTGATTTTCACTCAGTAGGAGGAGGTGTTGCATTGTCTTGCCGGGGCTTGTTCCAGAGATGAGGACGAATGGTCTCTTGTCTATTATGTCTTATCTTTTTCTGTCTCTCTCAACATTTCAACTCAAGTGAAAGTTTATATATGCTATTGTTTTTTATCATAAAGACAATAATCAATAAATCAAATAATGTAATAAAGTAAAAATTAAATCTATGGGAAACAGAATATCATGTTGACATGCTCATCTATCTAGCCTCAGTGAAGCATGGAAGACAAATTCATTTATCCTGCCTTACAAATAAATAATTTAAGTAGTTAATGTGTACGATCTTGCTTGTGTCTGCTGGTGGTACTTGCATAATGTATGTTAACATTTGTCTTTGCTTTACTGTTAACATTCGTGTTTCCTGCAGAGGACAATAGTGCAGACAAGAACAAAAGGGTACCAAGTAAATGTTTTTAGGGGAAATAGGGAACAAAATGTTTTTTATGAAGCTGTCAAAAGGCAAACGGATAAAGGAATTATGACAGGAGGCTAAAGAGGAAAGGGTTTATTATCTTTATTTGTTACTCAAATCCACAATGACCCCCTGGATGGGTTTAAGGCCTAAAAACAAACAAATGGAAATAAAGTAAGTAGAGAGCGAGGTATTGCTCAGTGACAGGAAAATATGTTATATTAAAGGAAAAAAAGATAAAAGAATCATTACATTTTTTTTAAATGACAGTTTGATTAGTCCAGTGCTAAACTTAACTAATATGGCTGCCCACTCTAAGTATGTTAGTTGAGTACATTTATCCTGGTTTGAAATCGCCATAATCCTGTCTGAAATAGTTTTATCAAATATATATCCAACCTTTGAAATCCAGAGAGCCAGATGAAAGGTGAAGGTCTAAGTAATGAGCTACTCCTGATCTTTTTGATCGTTTTGATTTCCTCTGCCTGTTTGCTGCTCAGAATAAACATCAAAGATCAGTAAAAGTAGCAGCACAGTCTCTTCTAACGGTCCAGATAATAATACCACACGATAAGACGACACTGTGTCCCTGTCTTTGCTTCCTTTGTCTGCTGCTACCTCTAATAGCCCCTCATGACGTGATCAGTGTTTTTGATCGAGTCAAACGTCATTTGTTTTTGGTCTGGAAGCAGTCTGCTCCTCCCAGCTGTCCGTCAGCGTGAGCCCGTCCTCTCTGGCTGTGGATGGTTTTGTCTCCATGGTGCCCCTTCATGTCCTGACGTAAGCAGGACAGACTGGATGGGACTTGTTGTCTTTGAGAGCCTGCTGCTCTCTCTCTCTCTGCTTTGTCTCTTGGAGAGGTATATTTATGTTGTCGTAGGTGTACAGAGCGAGACAGTGAGAGTGTGAAAGGTAAAATAGGAAGAGAAGGATGGATAATATGGAATTAACACCAAAAATAGAACCTGACAGAGAGAATTTAACAATGTCCCTCGGATTAGCTATCATGGATTTCAGAGATCCAGAGTAACTTTACACTTTGTATTAATGCCACCTTCCTTTTCCCCTCCTCTGTCACAGGTGCATACCTTGTGCCCTACTTTATTCTCCTCATCCTCATCGGCATCCCTCTGTTCTTCCTGGAGCTGGCAGTGGGTCAGAGGATCCGGCGCGGCAGCATCGGGGTCTGGAACTACGTTTACCCTCAGCTGGGAGGCATCGGGGTCTCCAGTCTGATGGTAAGCACCAACATGAGCACATTAACCACTTATTTCCTAATGTATTCAAGTTTGACAAGGTACAGCAGCAGAAATCCTAAAATGGCAACAAAATATTTAATGGTTTACAGGTCAGTACTAAGATGTTAAAATTCATAGTAAAAACATTTCCGTAGCCAGTTTGTGATCTCACATTTAAAGTGTCACTGCACACAGTCAACGTTTATTGTTGGAATATCAAACACTAAACCCTCTTTTGGCTTAAATGGTGACTGTAAAATAATTGTAGTTGAATTTACAAGTTCAGTTTAAACCATGTCAATTACAATGTAAATCAGTGGTTAGCAATCAGATTATTATCTCCCCCATAAAAACTATATATTGTAACATAATGTTGACCACAGCCCCTCTTTCCACTCACCTGTCAATTTATTAATGACTTCAATATATAGTGGAAAAGGCCATGTCACATTGTTCCAGTCAGCCGCACAGACTGTAAACAAAATATAGAGCTACAATTTCAGAAGATAATCACAGAGCAGATTACTTTTGTGAGCTTACAAACTGACAATCTAAACTCGTTGCTTTTAATGGAAGGATCCTAAATAAACCTTTTAGTGAGAATTTATGATCCCTTTTATAAAAACCCACTAACAGTAATATGTTTATATAATTATTGCACGCTTTGAAGCAATGCTATCTGTATTTCAGATACTGAAACATCCAAAACATTTTTGGATTTGTATAGTATTTAAGATATTCTCACTTTCCCTTCTAGACTCACAGTCGGACATGTAATGTAAAGAGACAACCTACAGTATGTGCTGTGTGACTCAGTCTGCTGGTCTCCTCTCTCTGTCTTGTATTACTCCCTCTTGATGTTTTACAGCAAGCGGCATGCAAAGATCAGCGCAAATAATCTCTGTCATAATCTGTCCCCATCATCTGCAGGAGCAGTGACCCTTCATGTCCCCATCCCATCATCCTCATCAGCCTAAATCAGGCAGTCAGTGATTTCACTGCGTCAGGCTTTCTGTTCGTCACTCGTTTTAACAGTGTTTTAATCAATCTAGTGCAAAAGATTGGAGGGAAATGTCACGATCTGTCTTTATGGTGTTTTGTCTTGTCTTGTTTCATGTTTTATTTTGAAAGGTCTTCACTTCCTGTCTTGCCTGTTTCTGTCTGCGTTGTGTCTTGTTTGGATTTGTCTGTGGTTCCCTGTCGTTAGTTTCCCTGGTGTCTCTGATTACCCGATTGTGTTCACCTGGTGTCCCTGTGTTTTCTCCTCCCTCCTCACCTGTGTCTTGTTTGTGTGATTAGTCTTGTGTGTATTTAAGTTCTGGTTTTTCTGTCTGTCTTTGTCGGCTCGTCTTTCGTTGTTGACTGTGTTCACCGGTGAGTGTTCTGTCTGTCCAAGTTCTATTTTCGTTATCCTTGAAATAAAGGTATATCAGTTTAATCTGCATTTGGGTCCTGCTTCCTTCGCTCTACCGTGACAGAACGAACCGACCAAGAATGGACCCAGCAGACAGTTTGTACGAGGTGAAGTACAATTTAACATGCTTGAGGAATGACTTTAGATATGCCTCCAGTACTGAAGAGAGGCAGTCAGTTATTTCTGCGGCACGCCAGGAGGTAACCTCAAGTCCCTGGTTGAGGGAGTTGCTCCCCGAGTGGGTGGAGGACTTTTTGGGCAGCTTTGAGGTCAAACCTCTTTCCCGGCCTGCTAGCTCCAGGCATGCTAGCCTCCCAATTCCCAACCCGACACCATACGTCTCGGTGTGTTCCGTCTGGAGTCAACCTCTGCTTTTTCCCCAGTTCCTGCTCCTGTCCAGGAGCCGTTCTCTGGAACTCTTGCTTATGGAGGTCCACGGAGTATTCAGGTGGCTGCTAAGAGGAGTCGTCGCAAGGCCAGGCTAGCAGCCCGAGCAGCCATGGATTCGGCTCCAGAACCGGACCTTACAGCCATGTTTCCGGCTCCAGAACCGGACCTTACAGCCATGATTCTGGCTTCAATTCTGGCCCCCGCAGCCATGGTTCCAGACCCAGCTCTTGCCCCAGCTGCCATAGTCCCCTCTCTAGTCTCTTCTTGAGTTCTCCCTCTAGTCCCTTCCCAAGTCCCTTCTCTAGTCCCTTCCCTAGTCCCTCCTCAGGTCACTTCATAGTCCCATCTCTGGTCCCCTCTCTAGTCTCTTCTCGAGTTCTTCCTCTAGTCCCTCCTCGAGTTCCCTTCTCTAGTCCCTCCTCAGGTCACTTCTCTAGTACCTTCTCAAGTCTCTCCTCTAGTCTCTCCTCTAGTCCCATCTCTAGTCCCATCTCTAGTCCCATCTCCAGTCCCTCCTTTAGTCCCTTCCCTAGTCCCTTCTCAAATCCCAACTCTAGTCCCATCTCAAGTTCCCTCTCGAGTCCCCGCTCCAGTTTCCTCTCAAGTCCCTTCTCGAGTCACCTCTCCAGTTCCCTCTCAAATCCCCTCTCGAGTTCCCTCTCCAGTCCCAACTCAAGTCCCTACTGAAGTGCCGTTGGAGGTTCCGCTGGGGCTCCTGCCAACTCCATGTTCTGTCCCGTTGGGGGTCCCGCCTACTACTCTCCTGCCGGGGGTCCTGCCAATCCTATGTCCAGTCCCGTTGGAGGTCCCGCCGACTACTCTCCTGCCGGGGGTCCTGCCAACCCTATGTCCTGTCCCGTTGGGGGTCCCGCCGTCTACTCTCCTGCCGGGGGTCCTGCCAACCCTACGTCCTGTGCCGATGGAGGTTCTGCTGGGGGTCCTGCCGGCTCCATGTCCTGTCCCGTTGGAGGTCCCGCCGTCTACTCTCCTGCCGGGGGTCCTGCCAACCCCTTGTCCTGTTCCGTTGGAGGCCCCGCCATCCTCTGTCTCGCCGGGGGTCCTGCCAATCCCGTGTCCTGGTCCTCTTCCGTGGGGGATCCTGCCGAGGCCTGTCCCACCAGCTCCGGTTCCTGTCCGGCCGACACCGGGTCCTGCCCGGCCTCCGGCGCTGGCCCGTCAGCGCCTTCCTGCCCAACCTCCGGAGCTCTCTGGTCTTCGCCCTCGAGCCCGGCCCCCTGAGAGCCGCGGTCTTCGCCCGCGATCCCGGCCCCCTGACTCTTCCTGCCGCTGCCCTCGAGCCCGGCCCCCTGACTCTTCCTGCCGCTGCCTTCGCCCTCATGCTCGGCCGCCCGAGTCCCCCACCTTAGACTCTGCCTTGCCCCCGGGCCGTCCTCCCGAATCTCCCTTTTTGAACTCTGCCTTGCCCCCGGGCCGTCCGCCCGAGATCCCTTCCTGGTCCTCTGCTGTGCCTCTGGGCGGTCAGCTCAGTCCCGTCCTCCTGACCCCCCTCCACCCACCCTGGTGGCCTGTTCTGTCTGTCCAAGTTCTATTTTCGTTATCCTTGAAATAAAGGTATATCAGTTTAATCTGCATTTGGGTCCTGCTTCCTTCGCTCTACCGTGACAGGAAAGGCCTGGGGCAGTGAGGCGTGTCACAGGCTGGATGTGGCAGAGGGAGATTCAGCAGCTATAAATACCTTCTCATAGAGGACCCCAGCCTTGGCTGCTGAGAGCAAACAGCTCAATAATTCATACACACTCCCGACTTAAGCTGTGTGCTCGGCATCTCTATCCTGACTTACAAAGAGGTGTCCACCTCAGCAAAGTCCATGTTGTTTTTCCCCGTGTTGTCTGTAGGTTATGTGCGGAGACAGTTGTTGTTTTTCAGATTGACGAGTATTGCTGTTTCATGTCATTTCCCCTCAGGTTTGTGGTTTCGTGGGCCTCTACTATAATGTGATTATCGGCTGGAGCATCTTCTATTTCTTCCAGTCTTTCCAGTATCCACTGCCTTGGGCTGAATGCCCCATCCAGATAAATGGAAGCCAAGCAAGTGAGTAGGGTCCCAGCTATGAATAGTTTCAGTGTCCATTAAACTACAGATAACTTTCTTAAATAATCAGTTGGTACATAAATGTCAGAAAATATTGGAAGATGTCTTATTTTGTCAGTCAAAGACCTAAGGAAATTCCCTTCAATATATAAAACTGTGGAAAGCAGGAAATGTTATAAGAACATGATACATCAACTATCAAGTTGCTTCTTATTTTTGGTCAATTGTTGCACAACACAGCTGCAACGATAACAGGTTTGCATCAGTATGGTTCCCATACAAATGACCTCTTCACTGTAAAGCCCCTGACAGCAGTAAAATGAATACTGCAAGACAATTGCATATGCACCAGAGTGTCTCAGCAGATGCACACAAGGCTACGCAGGGCGATGCTTAAAGCTGAAGAACGTGTCTTTGTGGCTCTGCAGTGAAACAGCAGAGCATCTGCAGGAGAACACGTTTTTGTGCCGTCTCTAGCTGGGATGGCCCTCCACGTCATCCTACAGAGCCGCTCTGTTGCTAAAGTCTGTCGGATGGGATGACCCAGCCGACAGTGTCAATACCTAGAATGATTGGCAGCTGGTGGCTGTGGTGGAGGCACATCCAGGTTCTGGCAGAGCATCAGCTTACATCACCATGAGAGGGTGGGATGTCCACTCTGTTCAGGATGCTGAATATGCAGCTAGTATGTTGTGGAGCATCCAACAGGATTTAGTTAAGCTATGTGCAGGGTAGGAAAGTATTTCAGCCAGGTACATTTATAAGAACTTTCTTCTTCACAACATTTTCTGACAGTTACAAGTACTGTTTTTAATCATGAAGGGCTGTTATGCATGTAAAATGCACAGAAATGCACGGGAAATTCTGGGTTAGCTACTTTATTTTAAGCCAAATATTTCTTCCATGATAGTTTGTTTACAAAAATATATTTATCTGATAATATCCCAAGTTCTATCCCTGTAAAACTCATGACCAACACTGTGGCAGCATTGTTTATGCCATATCTTCCCCTGTCCTCGTTGTTGTTGTTGTTGTTGTTGCAGTCGTGGTGCCAGAGTGTGATAAAAGCTCGGCTACCACTTACTTCTGGTACCGCCAGACTCTCAACATCACCAGCTCTATCGATGACACGGGCGGCCTGAACTGGAAGATGGTCCTGTCCCTGCTGGTGGCCTGGATCCTGGTCTGCCTGGCTGTCATCAAGGGCATCCAGTCATCTGGGAAGGTACGGGGTCTCCATGGCTTATAAGCAGGGGCACAGCCTGCAAATCATAGGTACATTCAGTCCTAAAACCCAAACATTAGTTTGCCTTTTTAGCACTTCCAGTTCCCTTGCCTCAAAGTCAATGGGTTTTTTAATGGGTTTTTGGTAAAATTATGTCTGGTCAAAACAAGCCTTACAGATTTTAACAATCCTCCACATAAAACACGTGTCAGTAAAAAACCCCGCAGAATTTTGAAGCTTTAACATGTTTTAAAAACAACGACGAAGGGAATAAGAGCGATGATATACCCAACCAAATGATGTCTTCCCTGCAAGTCTCTTTAGAGTCAACCTTACCATAGACTTTATATAGATGCTATCAAAAAATCACTTCAGGAGCTATTTTTAATCCTCATCAGTGAGTGTTTTATATACTTTGCTAATGCTTTTGATGCTAAAGCCTCCCATCAGCAGTAGTCTACTTTCAGATCTCATTTATATTATGAAAGAGATAAACATGTAACATTAATAAGCTTAAACTGTACCAAGCAAAGACTGGTTCAGAATGCAGACTGGAAATGCTGCTATTGGCAACAACTCCAACAACATCCTGTAATCCCGATCCAGAGAGTGAGTCATATTTCAAAACACAACATCCAGCGCACACTTTGAAAAGGAAAATACTCAAATCGCAGAGGTCTGACAGTTTATTTTTAAACACTAATCGTGGTAATCCAATTAGTATCGTTAGTACTGCATTGATTCCCTGCAATGCTGGAGGACAGATTTGACGCATCCATCCAAACCTCAAAGAGTCCTTTCCATGTTTGGTAAGATTTCACAAATTGAGTGCAAAGCAAACGCAAGTCAGTTTTGGGATTGATTCATTGTGTGTGTGTGTGTGTGGCCTTAGAAAAGCGTGTCCATGGCAACACTGTAAGGGGACTTGACTTTCTCTCTCTTTTAGGTGATGTACTTCAGCTCTCTCTTCCCGTATTTGGTGCTTTTCTGTTTCCTGGTGCGAGGTTTGATGCTGAAGGGAGCAGTGGACGGCATCGCTCACATGTTCACCCCTAAGGTGAGAGCAAAAGTAAAACAATGAAAATCTAGAACAGCGTTGCATCTGCAGGATTTGGGGGTACTTTCCCCATTAAAATAATATAATATGTAGTACTTTGCTAAGATTGTCCACAATGTAACTGTAGTGTGCTGGAGGGGAGTCTTGGTTCTGAATCTGATCACTCATTCACAGACTATTAGCACGACAGACATGTAACACAAGTGACACTTTGTCTTTGCAAGCTGCTCAGCTGTGTTCATGTTTGTTGTTGCTTCCCCAGCAAGGCCATTCAAATCCACTCATACATAAATGTCATTTAACAGTGTGTCCTGTGTTGGGTTGATGTCCCCCTCTGGTGGTGAACATCTTTAATAACAGGAACAAAATAATCATTACATACATATTACGTTGAAATATTGGACATTCTTTGTTTTTAGGTTGAATGTAGTGATGGAAGTAGGTTGTAATCATGTCAGATGACAGAAAGTAGTAACAACAGAGGGAGGGCTCAAGGGATTTAGAGTTTTTGGAATAAACTGAGATTAACTTTTGGCCTCCGGTTATGTCATGAAGCTGATGGTTCACATCACTGTGTATTAAAATGCATTCTAAAGTCAACTCAAACATTTCTGTGTTTCCTCACAAAACAAAACATTAATATCTTAATTAAGGGGTAAGATTATATAATTGTTTTAATCTGCCTGTTTCCAATCCCATAGTTTCCAAAAATGCCAAATGCTTAATTACAAGGGGGTTAACATTGAAAACATGAGAAACTTGAGATTACGTAAGACATGTATTTTTACATTTTAAGGGCCTGCTTTAAATAAATTATATTATTTCTCTCAGGGTTAGCAGTAGTTTCTATCAAGTGTTCAAAGGGACAGAATATATATAAATTGTTGTCGATAAACTACTTGAAGGCAGTATGTCAATGTCTAAGGAGTGTTTAGGAGGTTAAATGACAGAAAATGTGACATTTCTCCTGTATTCTCTCTAGTTGGAAAAGATGTTGGAGCCGCAGGTGTGGAGAGAAGCAGCCACGCAGGTGTTCTTTGCTCTCGGTCTGGGCTTCGGAGGAGTTATCGCTTTCTCCAGCTACAACAAGAGAGAAAACAACTGCCACTTTGACGCAGCATTGGTCTCTGTCATCAACTTCGTGACCTCCATCCTCGCCACTTTAGTTGTGTTTGCTGTCCTGGGATTCAAGGCGAACATCATGAACGAGAAGTGTGTTGTCGAGTAAGTGTGTTGTACTTTAACAAATGCTACCTGACTAATCCCTCTTTGGCAGTCGTTTCATACTAAAACCTGCACTCACCAAAACATTCTTCTCCACATTTTCTATTTTCTTTGGCAGTAATGCAGAGAAGATTATTGGCTTCCTAAACACAGGTGTGCTGAGCAAAGAGCTCATCCCACCTCACATCAACTTCTCTCACCTGTCCACAGAGGACTACGCTGAGATGTATGGCGTCATTAAGACGGTGAAGGAGGACATCTTCGACCAGCTGGGCCTGGACTCCTGCTTGCTGGAGGACGAGCTCAACAAGGTCAGAGTCATAAAATAGCTTCACTATAATTAATTAAACTGAAAGTGGGTAATTTCCCACATTGGATCACTCCTTTGTATTCAGCGCCTCAGCTATCATCAGCCACCTTTGACCACCATCTTTGTTTCTACGTCCTCCAGGCGGTTCAGGGCACTGGTCTGGCATTCATCGCCTTCACAGAGGCCATGACACATTTCCCTGCCAGCCCTTTCTGGTCCGTCATGTTCTTCTTCATGCTGATCAACTTGGGTCTGGGCAGCATGATCGGCACCATGACCGGCATCACCACGCCCATACTGGATGCTTTCAAGATCCGCAAAGAGATCCTGTGTGGTGAGCAGACTGTCTTTAATTCGACTCTCTTTAACTGGTTGAACTTAAATATGTGCCATACTCACAGGCTGTTTCTTCTTCTCTTTCTCAGTGGCTTGCTGTGTCATAGCCTTCCTGTTAGGCCTGCTGTTTGTGCAGCGCTCAGGGAACTACTTCGTCACCATGTTTGACGACTACTCCGCTGGTTTGCCTCTCACTGTGGTGGTGTTCCTGGAGAACATCTCTGTAGCATGGATCTACGGCACTGATAGGTAATGCGGATAAATAGACTGAAGCCACCTAGGATATAATTCATTATAAGACAGCTTGTAGAAGTGTGCAGTGTCTGATCCATTTGTAAAAAGAGTGTTTTGAATTCTTTACAATTTATAGATGTGAAAACTATTGTTATGTAGGCAATGACACAAAATAATGATCATTCACAAGTGTCACAAATCTGAATCTATCACTCTTGATTGTATAGTACATTTACGTCCATGACTTCAATAATGTAACAAATGTACTTATTTTTTACACCAAACCATAATATTTTACCTTAACCTAAACAATTCATTGGGGTTTGTTGTGTTGTTTCTATTCTGAATGTTAACCAAATGTTTAGAAAAGCATTCAGGTTGAATGATGGTGACAATGCAGTAGGACTCTACTATTGCCCCACTCTCTTTCACTTCCTCACAGGTTCATGCAGGACCTGGAGGACATGCTTGGATTCAGGCCGTACTCTTTCTATTACTACATGTGGAAGTACGTTTCTCCAGCCATCTTGGTGCTGCTCATCATCGCCACTGTCATTGAGATGGCCATCAGTCCTGCAGGATACAACGCCTGGGTAGAGGCTGAGGTGGGTGTTGCTCTGGTTTATCTGGGTTTATACAAAGAATGAAAAAATAAAGAGTTAAAACATCACCAGACATGCTATATTATTTTTTGCATGTTGTTGATTTCATCCTCTTGCCTCTGTACCTCTGTTTTCCAGGGAGCAGAGCAATTCCACAGCTACCCTCCCTGGGCTTTAGCCATGGCCTACTCCCTCATCGTGGTGGCCATGCTGCCTTTACCCATCGTCTTCCTCCTCCGCCACTACAACCTGATCTCGGACGGCTCCAACAAACTGTCCGTCTCCTACCGTAAAGGCATGATGAAGGACATCTCTAACCTGGAAGAGCAGGACGAGCAGCGTTTCATCCTCGGCAAGAACCCCAGCGAGGTTCCTTCCCCAATGCCCGCCCCACGCCCTTACCTCGGCCCCGGCGGCACCCAGGAGATGACCAACACCAACTACGGCACCAGCACCAAGACAGGCTACCAGAACATCGGCTCGCCAGAGTCTGAGCTATGATCCACTGAGCTCAAGCAACATCCCGTCCATTAAAACCCCCAGCCTTGCATGGAGAGAGGAAGAAAGGGAGCAACCAAGGAAGTCAAGAGGAAGAGAAAATCCACTGCCAGTTGTTGCAGCGTTCATAACACCTTAACCTCCAGAGCTGAGTCCCTATCCCTCCTTTTCTGCCCTTACGCCCCCCGCCTGTGATTCTTCCCTGCAATAGGAGCCGTAGTGCCAATTTCCTCTCAATCCCAGCTGTGATGAAGGGATCATGGGAATGTGAGCTTGACCAGATAATTATGACCACATTTTTCATCTTTCAACGAAATACAGCGGCAGAGAGAGAGGGAAGGATGGATTTAGAAGGGTCCACCGCAGGCTTTGTTTTGTAATGAGCTCTGACTGAGGTTAAGGTGTGTGCGGCTCTAAAATGCTTTACGTTGTACTCAACACTATGTTCACCAGTTTAAGAGAAGGATATCTTTGAGATAGTCAGATGTTCCTAGATCTAGGAGATCCTCATCTTGTTGATGTTCAGTTATAGAAGATTGTTATTTGTGGGGTTAGGATGGAAGGAGACTCAGAAAAAAACCCATATATTTTCATGATCTATATCAACGTATGAGAACATTTCTCATCCTGTAAACAAAATGATAACAAATTCATTCAAAACAGTATGTAGTAAGTGATTCCGATAGTGTAAACAGTGTTACAAACACCTTGCATCTGAATTGTGCCTATCATGCATCAGCAATAATACCAGTCAAAGTAGGGTACTTTACGTAAAACTGTGGATCTCCTTCTATCCCTTCTTTCCCCACTGATGTAGAGTACTGTATATACTTGTTGTGTAGTCTGAGATGTCACTGTAAGTCGTGTATATAGTCTACACAGCAGTAGTGCGAAACAAGGGGAAACTCTTCACCTCTTCATTACACTCCCATGATCCCCAAAGCAAAGAAACACGCTATAATTGTTTAGCATCTCTGAGCCTTAAAACAGAGCAGCATTTCTCTTTTAAACAACCTCTTGTTTCCAACCGCATTGCACATCTATGTGCTGTTCCAGTCGTGGCTGGTCTAGACAAAGCTTTTCCATTTGAATCAATTGTTTCCATCTTTATCAATGCCTTAGAAGGGCAGAGGTGACAGTGCACCAGCGAAGATGAGCAGAGCAGCCTCAAGCACGCCTGTCTGCATGTTGGAGAGGCATACTGAGAATAACTGGATAATGTGAGTATTGTCTCTGTGTACATGCAGATGTGTGTGTGCGTCAGTCTGCCACTGAATGAGAGCTCCCGGTGACCCTGCCTCTTTAAAAATAGAGCTGCGTTACCCAGGGGAAGCCGTGGCAACGCACCATAGTTACAGATCCTCTTCTGATGTGCAAGAGGAGAAGAGGAGAGCAGACACCTTGCTTTGTCTGCTCCACCTGCTCGGCTGTTTGCTCAGCAATACACAGATGAGACAGTTTACTGTTGAGGTCCTACAAGAATATAAAGCGTCTATGTTGTTAGTAAGAGGTTCACTGCCATGCCACGCTGTGGAGACATCATGTGCACCGTAAAAGGAGTATCCTGGGTTTAATTGTTGTACATTCCTCAAATTGTAACCACTGCAGACATCATTTCATACGCACTAAAATGTACACTTTGATGTATTTTGTGAACTGAGGTGTGGAAACTTAAAGCCTTTTTTTAACGTAAATATCTTGTATGAAAATGTACGTTTTGGGGTTTAATGTGGAAATTGTGCAGTGATATAAATGTTTGGATTAAGTGGTAATACAAGGATGTCACCACTGGGTGTCTCTGCTGGCCAGTGGAGGAGTCAATGACTCTCCATCTAGTGGCCCCTCCCTGACAACACCAATACAGAGACTGAACAGATGTAGTGTGAAGCACAGTCAGTCACATTGTTTGGTGCCTGAACAGCCACTCTGTTGTCTGTTCGCCTTATGCTTTTGTCAGTTTTTTCTTCTCGATAATGTAGTGCGTTGAGTTTGGACCAATGTCTTGTCTCATTCACTTGAGCACTTTAATTAGGTAGAGACCCTGGAGTTGTCTGTTTAGTACAGGTTTGACAAAAATTGTCATCACAATAATGCTGCCACAGAAGATGATTTAATCAGCAATATTTATTTAGAGAGAGAAAGAAGTCTGAATATCCATGAAAGGCTCAAATGTGTCGCAAGCCACTGTCAAAGACAGTTAATTTCCTGTGTGTTTGTACAACAGATCTTTGAGAATTTACATTGTTTTTATTTATTATGTTTGAACAGCGTAGACTGGTATGTGTGTCTGCTGTGAATTTTGCCCTGTAATCAAACCAGTTCTGATTGATGCTTCCATGGCTTTGATAGGTCCTCCCTATTTTCCCCAATGCAAGTTTTGACCAATTCCTAAACTGTTCTCTATATATGTGGTTGTGTGAATTCTTACATGCCTCTTACATCTGCTCAGGTTTTTAGGCACCTTAATTGTGCCTACTGTAGCTTTGTGTTTATTGAAGGTATGAATAGTTGAATTCATACCCCCTATAACGAACATTTAAACACAGTTTAAAGTCTAAAAATGCCAGATTATCCCCCCTTTTGTTTTGCGCAACTACTGCAATAACATGTTGAAAATAACAGATGGTTTTTGGTCAAATGGCTTATGACATGAATGGCACAACAGGTGACGGCACCTGGAGCTCTGGATTACAGTTAAAGCACATTTATGGAAGCACAGGAAAGTGAGCACAAATGAGTTTCATGGCGTGGTGAACAAGAGCCAGTTAATGATTACAAAAAAAAAGTCTGTATGGGTGAAGTTGAAACTTGTAGATTATGTTAGTTATGGTCTGAATCCTGCTTCCTACAAAGGGTCACTGGAGGATAAGTCTGCACATGTAATTGCACGGCCGTCCACAAGAATCTAAACTGCACCACAAGTCTGTTTCTTAACTACAGGTTGATCTGCACAAAAAATACATGAGAAAAGGTCTGATGTGAGAGCACAATCGAAACACAAGACATGATGCACAATTTGTCACATTTAGTCAAGGATTTTCCACTTCTCCACTCCAGGTCGCTTTAAAATACTCTGCACAGTGGAAACAAATATCAGCTCTGCTCAGTAACAAGATATTGGCCTTCAGAATTGATATTGCTATTTATCATTGAAATCAAAGACTCTAACTCCAGGGTCTCTTTGTCTTGTCCATGTGTCAGCTGTGTTGCATTATGTACTATAAAGCAACTTTTCCGGTTAACTCAAGTTGAATAACAGTGATTAACTCATCAAAAATAAAGTAACAGTGTATTTATTTAACTGTGCATATAGTCTTTATGTGACAAAACCCATAGTTATATTTATAGTATTTAAGATAATGTATTTAAACTGTACATATTGATGTACATTCTGATAAATTCACACTGAATATCTATAGAGTGACAGGGTGTATACTTGAGCTGTAAATAATAACTGTATATTTTTGAGATATTTTTTGATTTTTGTACTGTAGGTAATGTTACTTTGCTGTCTGTTAGTATTTGGTGTTAGTGTACAGTTGTTCTTAATCAAAATAGCTGAGCGACTGGGATTGTGAGTGTGGGTGTATGTTTGTGTAACGTAGGTTTTTGGTGTTTAGGTGTGTGTTTCTTTTCTCCTCTCTCAGTGTTATGTGCTGCTGATCTAATCCTGTTGTTACAGTGAACTGGGACCACTAATGTAAGCAATCTCTCTTCTGTGTTTCTCACTGGAACGGCAGCGGCTGCCAGCACAAAACTGAAGCCAATGTTTGACAATGAGACAAACTGATCTGTTTTGGGTGATGAGATGTACTGTAAAAACATGTTGGAGCCAAAAGTTAAATTAAAATTACCACTTTTATGAAACAGTCCATGGTGTTTGTCTTATTTATTCTGTACAGTATATGAAAAGATGAGTTATTCAGTAAAACAGTTTGGTACCACTTTATATTAAGGTACACAAATTAACCATCAACTAGTTGTTAATTAACATGCATATTAGCAGTATATTGGCTCTTTATTAGTCATTATAAAACACTTATTAATGCCTTATTCTACATGACCATATTCTACAAGTAATAAGCCATTAGTTGAGAGGTTTTCCTCAATAACCCTCTAATTAGTGCTTATTTATTGCAAGGAAATTGTTGTACATGAGTTTTGGTCTTAATATGCTCTGCTCAATATGGGCCTAATAAGGCAGTAGTACCACAAGAATAGTAATTCTCCCATAATAACACTTAACACATATGATCTGTTCTTATGTAACAAGACATGAAACTATAAGTGTTAATTGTGTCTAAATAACTGAAAATTAGGTATTTATTCTAAGAACATGTTCCCTATTTTAAAGTGAAGTCTTGTTCATAACCAATAAGCTAGTAGTTTGACTCTAATTGACCTGAACAGGTTCCCTATTCTAAAGTTGCCTCCTCTTCACACTTTGTAAATACATTATAGCACACAACTACTGAAATTAACCTCAACAGTACATGAACAAAGTAGGCACATGTTGAAATATCTGTATAAAGAGAGGTTCAGACACATACATGTACCAAAACATGTCAAGTTTCTCCAAGGCTGAGAACACATATGCAGCCTGTACTTTTTTCATAAAAACTGATTTTTAACAGTTTATGTATGTGATCATACTGTGTGACCTTCTTGTATGTTCTTACACAATAGGTGTACTGCAGCGACGTGCAGTCAGGGGAGGCAGAGCCTCACCTGTCATACTCCAATGTAACGGAAAAACAACTAAAGAAAAACTAAATAGTAATAATAATAAAATCTCTCCACTGATCTGTGTTGTAAATGTGATTTATGTATGATTCCAATCGCTTTTTATCGTCAAAATCATCAAATTTGCCGAGCTCCGCTACAACTACCGATGAGAAGTGAGGCAGGGACGAGCTCTGCCTCTCGTAAACCCACAGTAACTGGCTGGAGCGCGGGCACTAATTTAACGCGGGCACTTATTTTGTGAGCGCGCTCAAGCCAGCTACTGTGGGGTAAGGTGAGGCACAGATGTACGGTGGCCCTGAAGTGCAAGACACCAAATCATTTCAGAAAACGCCGCAGTATTTCAGAAAACGCCACAGCATTTCAGAAAACACCACAGCATTTCAGAAAACACCACAGCATTTCAGAAAACACCACAGCATTTCAGAAAACACCACAGCATTTCAGAAAACACCACAGCATTTCACATTGGACGGAAAGGGTATTCCTTTAGGGAGAACACTTCTTGTTTGTGATTGGACAGAGCCAGCCAGAGAAGCACTGCTGTGATTGGTTGTTTTTGCTGCCTGTCAAGAAATGACGCTTCGTGATTAGCCCAACACATCAGCCGTTAGCTGTTAGCACACACTCAGAGCTCACAGCTCCTCATATCTGTTCAGAAACTGGACAAAAGTTAAACATATACAAAACACAGACTGTCTATGTCATTTCGAAGGGATCACTGACATAAACTGGGCCTTCTGCCAAAGTAAAGCCTGACACCCTCGCACATCCATCGCAACGCAGACTTATTATGGACTGTCGACAGGGACAAATCATCATCCTTTTGAGCTGGGAGGGCCTGCTCACCTGCTGGCTCTTTATAGCTGCTCACAGTGGCAATCAGATGGTACGGAGTGGCATCAGGGTCAAGCAAGAGACACATTTGCTCAACATAATTTGCCCCAAAAGTGTGAAAATATCCAGTTTCTACAGACTCCTGTGGTCCTCATGTAATTGAGCTTGAAAAACAAGATCAGTATTCCAGTCTATTTGTAGCATCTTTAGAGTAGTGGATTAAACAAATGCTGTTCCAAACAGTGGCACTACTGTAATTCTGAAATCAGGGGACCACCAGTATAACAATGGATGGACCCACCCCCCATGGGGTAAGTTTATCTATATCATTTTAGGAAGATTCGGGCAGGGGATGCTTTCATCCAAACCCTTTCTCTCTCTCACAATCCACAAACACTAATAAAAACGCTCATATCTGACTTTTTTCTTTCGTGGAAAAGGATAAAAAAAAAGCAATTTTTCCTGGGACAAAATATTATGCAGTAGTATCGGGTATTCTTTGGCTCCAGTTCAGATCTTCAGTGATGAACCATCATAAAAATGATTGTGAGTAGCAGATAATGGGAGAGTTTGTCATTTCAGTCTGTTTTCACCCGTTTAGGATTACTTGTTTAACATTCAGGAGGTTCTTTCTGGGAGGGAAATTATCTGCAGTAGTCTCCTCTTCTTTAAAACAAGCAGACCCAGTGAATGAAACCTGTAAAACTACTTAATAGAGCAGGGTGGAGCAGCTGTAATCTAACTGCTAACATGTGTCATTTATGACAGACATATAAGGACGTCTTTCACCGAAACGACAGCAGCATTTCGTTAGGGAAACAACTGAACACACCAACCTTAAGAATCTACCACAGCAAGTCATTGGGAAACAGAGTAGGATCTTGATACTGTAGTATTCCTAAGCTATGGTAAATAAAACATCAGGTCCCTGAAAATAAAGGTGGTTTTAGGTCTCGGTTCATTCCTCCCACATACAATAGGGAGGAACATTTTCATGTAGCTAGATTGGTTCCTAGGGAGTCTGGAGTGACAAAGTTAAAACTCTGTCAGGTTTCCAAATTGTAAATGGTTCAGCCCTAAATGATTCTTTCCCGCAGGTCAAAGCAGCTCCCAGGCTCAACACCATGACCAAAATAGCAAATCTGACGCTGGTTAAAAATCAGTAGCCAGATTGGTAAACATTATGTTGGATATCCTGATTCCCATAAATAGAACAAGTTTGCTAATTAAGGACCAATTACTGTTGCCTTTGTGAGTTGACCTGAGAGGTGAGCACAGAAGGCTCAAGGGTAGACTGCTGTTAACCCTTCTGGGTGTTCCATTGTATGAACCTCTGTCACAAGATGCTGTACATACTTTCTTTTAGTCTAGGGCCAACAGGGTGGGTGGAGGGGGGTCTGGAGGACAGGACACAGGGTTGGCAGGACCCCCGGCAGGAGAGTAGTCGACGGGACCCCCAATGGGACAGAACATGGAGCTGGCAGGAACCCCAACGGAACCTCCAACGGCACAGGACATAGGGTTGGCAGGACCCCCGGCAGAAGAGTCGTCGGCGGGACCCTCAACCACCGGGAACCCCCGGCAGGAGAGTAGTCGGCGGGACCCCCAACGGGACAGGACATAGAGTTGGCAGGACCCCCAGCGGAACCTCCAATGGCACAGGACATAGGGTTGGCAGGACCTCCAGCGGGACCTCCAGCGGAACCTCCAACGGCACGGACATAGGATTGGCAGGATCCCCGGCAGAGGAGTAGTCGGCGGGGCCTCCAACGGCACAGGACATAGGGTTGGCAAGACCCCCGGCAGAGGAGTAGTCGGCGGGGCCTCCAACGGGACAGGACATGGAGTTGGCAGGACCCCCAGCGGAACCTCCAACGGACCAGGACATTGGGTAGGGACTTGAGACGTGACTCGAGAGGGGACTTGAGAGGAGACTCGAGAGGAGAACCAAGGGGGAACTAGAGAGGGGACTCGAGAGGGGACTCGAGAGGGGAACCAAGGGGGAACTAGAGAGGGGAACCGAGGAGGGACTAGAGGAGGGACTAGAGGAGGGACTAGAGGGGGAGCTAGAGGAGGGACTAGACAAGGGACTTGAGAAGGGAACTCGAGAGGGGACTCGAGAGGGGACTGGAGAGGGGACTCGAGAGGGAACTGGAGAGGGAACTAGAGAATTGACTAGAGGAGGGACTTGAGAAGGGACTAGGGAAGGGACTAGAGGAGGGACTAGGGAAGGGACTAGAGGAGGGACTTGGGAAGGGACTAGAGGAGGGACTCGGGAAGGGACCAGAGGAGGGACTAGAGAGGTGACTAGAGGAGGGACTTGAGAAAGGACTAGAGATGGAACTCGAGAGGTGACTCGAGAGGGGACTTGAGAGGGAACTCGAGAGGGGACTTGAGAGGGAACTCGAGAGGTGACTCGAGAGGACACTCGAGAGGACACTTGAGAGGGAACTCGAGAGGTGACTTGAAAGGAGGCTTGAGAGGGGACTCGAGAGGTGACTTGAGAGTGGACTCGAGAGGTTACTTGAAAGGAGACTCGAGAGGGAACTTGAAAGGAGACTCGAGAGGGAACTTGAGAGGGGACTCGAGAGGGAGCTGGAGATGTGGCTTGAGAGGGGACTTGAGAAGGAACTTGAGAGGAGACTTGAGACGGTCGGTTCGCTCACAGAACACGTGGGGCTGGAGTCGGCCTGAATGCCGACAGGGCACGGGGAGCTGGCGTCGGCCGGTACGCCGACAGGACACGGGGAGCTGGCGTCGGCCGGAGACGAGGGGCTGGAGTCGAAACCATGGCTGCTGGGGCCAGGACTGAGGCTGGAACCATGGCTGCTGGGGCCAGAACTGGGGCCGGAACCATGGCTGCTGGGGCCAGAACTGGGGCTGGAACCATGGCTGCTGGGGCTGGAACCATGGCTGCTGGGGCCTGTACTGGAGCCGGAACCATGGCTGCTGGGGCCAGAACTGGGGCTGGAACCATGGCTGCTGGGGCTGAAGCAAGGGTTGACTCCAGACGGAACACACCGATGCGTGTGGTGTCATAATGGGAATTGGGAGGCAGGGAGCTAGCAGCTAGATAACACACCGAGAGGAAATCCAAAATCCAGCCAGGTAAGAATTTCACTAAGCCTGGCTTCTCCGTAGCCATCTGGCGCGCCTCTGCCAGAGCTGCCTCTTGCTGCTGAACCCCGGACGCTCCCCTCCATCGATCAGAACAGTTAGCCGAAAAAAAGGAAAAATCCAATAATTCCTGCTCAAAAGGATCTGCTGGGCCCATATTTGGTTAGTTCCTTCT